GGTGGGCTTTCTTTGAAGAATGGGTTGTCGTTTGAGTGATAGTACTGTGATCGGTTCTTACCTAAAACTTCCTTCATCGTCAAGCGAATTCCATGAGGAATATACCTGGTTGTATTCTACTTGCGCGTATTCTACTTTGCCTTCAGCAAACCTACAGGAACAATATGCATGCAATACACTACATACACTGCGTTCAATAATGATACAGCCACCTAAAATTTGTTCGAAAACTTAAAGTTCATAGAGTTTCTGAAAAACTGTCCAGATAGAAAATGTGACAAATTTCATGGCGAGTTCAGATATCAACACAAAAATCCATGTCGAAAACACTAAAAAATTTTGTGCTTATTTTTTCAGAAGAGGTCGATTTTCCTATGTTCAAAAATGATACAGCCACCCCGTGTTTCTTCGTTGAAATTCATTTTTGCTTCATGAAACTGATTCGCAGTTATCAGGCTTTCACCTTAATGTTCCCACAAGATAAAAAAGACAGTTGGTTTTGAAAAAGGTAAACTGTAGCAAAAAAGGACCAGGAATCGTCAAGCAGTCATATTGCGCAAAAATTGAGTCAAAGCTCCAATACGGTTAACAATCTTTTCTGGAATCCTGTAGGTTATGGAACAACGAAGAGCTCTGGATGTTCATCATTGCTTTTTGGTCAATTTAAACTTCGCATTTTGGGGAAACATTTCAATTTCATCGAACAGTGCCCGGAATTCCAGTCTTCTTTCAGAATTAAACTTTCAATGGATATTGTTTGGGATGTGTTGAAGAATTTCCGAGGTCAATGGAGAATAAAGAAACCTTGTTTGTGAAAAGAAATTCTCTCGAAAACTGAGACATTTTTTGCTCGAAAGTGTAGCCACGTCCACTGGAGCAAGATCAGTTCTTTTGTCTGTTGTGTCTTACTTTCTGTTAACTTTCTTTCCAAGTTTTTCCGCATCTTTATATGAAAACACACCAACTGCTCGCTTTATATAAAGTTGGTTTATAACGTGGATAGTTTTTACGCTATACTATTTCAACAACTGCTTGTCTCATGAAACCCGCAGATCAACGACGGCGAAAATGCTCGCGAATCCATACAGAACAAATAATGAGTGGCTCGAGGTGTTTGATACTCAAAGAAAAAAAAATTGCGAGCACCGCTGCGGCATACTATATTAGCCATTTTTAGTTTGTGGCTGCACGCCAGTGTGTTGCAAGTCGCAAGCGATATTCTGACGAGGATTTTCGCCGATAGCATTGTTTCGTTCTTTCTAGCGTTGATCTCGCACAGTCGCAAAGCCGCAGTTCTTGTTAGATGTCGCAATTGTGCTATATCCATGATGCATCTACTACCGTGGCGACTTCACTAGGTTCCTTATTTATGCTCCTTACCGTTTCTTCGAGGCTGCTTGAGGCTCCCTGCCCAGAGTTTGTAAGTCATAATGTTTTTTTTTTATGAGGATCCCTGTTGCCTTCGAGTATCCTGTTGCCCATAATATCGCAGCACTGCCGCACGTGACGGCCTTTACTTCTTGGACCGGGACTCTCCGCGTTGCCACTCTAATATTCTTGTTCCCTACTCTGTCCATCCATTTCCAGCCGTATGCTTACCTAACCTAGCATCCTCATTTCTGCGCCTCACCACCTCGCAGTGGTAGACAGGAGTCGACGGTCTCCAGACGCTCAGGAAATGACAATCTCCCTTACGTATAATGTATGCCGAAAGAAGATTCCAGTTGTTTTATAATTTACCAGATTAGTCCCCCGTCAACCGCCGGGACCTTCCTTTCCTGCGCAAGCTTTCTATCCTCCGCTATGGTCCCTTCCTCCTGTGACACCAACACCTCCTGGAAGTGACGCGTATGCAACACAATGGTGTTTCATACAGTAGAAGGGACACAATCATGATATGACGGTAGATTTTTCGCTTCCCTTCCTCATCCTCCCTTCCTCTCTCCACTGCCCTCCAGCTGCCACTGCAGCACCATGTGGAATGAACGGAAGTGTGCTAAGCAGGTGTTTATATAGCCCTAAGAGTGTTATCACAACTATCCTGCTACAAAACATTGATATCTCAAATCCTGTAAGCTACCCGATTTGTTAGCGGTTTGTTTATCCCATGAGCTTCCTTCTCACTCACTTCATTTTGCGGACGGACACAGACATACATACATACATACATACACACACACACATACATACATACATACAGACATACACCGACACACAAAGTTAGCCGCTTTATAAAATAGAAGATCCGCGTTTATCCGCGCTTTGCTGCTTGATCCATATTCTTAGGCGGTGCATCACTCCCGAGTATAGGAATCCCCCTTGTTGATGCTTTCTCCACGGCCGTCCGCGACCGCCTTTGCACTTTCTACAAAATCTTTGAGAAGTTTGCCTTTTACGTTTAGTCGCAGCCCCTTTTTAGCCAACACTTATCTGCCAGGGTTACACCATTTCCCCTAATGTTGTTTCATGTCGCTGTGTTACGACCAAAAATATGCGTTCTCACAATTTCCGCATTATTAGTTCCTCTCCCCATTGACTCCAGGGTGAGCAAAAAGCGGACCGGGCTTAGAGATTATCCCTGGCGTACCTCAACCGTAAATTTTCACTTCATTTGTCAGGCTCTGTTGGGCCCGTAGATCTGCTTCAACTCTTTCGTGCATGTATTTCACCAAGGAAAACAGATGTTCGAGAGCGTTCCGTTCTCTGAGCTCCTTCTGAACATTGGTCGCGGTAGACAGTCTATTTTGCCTTCTGCAGGCCGAGGAAAACTAAGTAGCAGGGTTGTCGCTTTCTCAATACGCCTACATCACTTTTCTCGCGTTAAGTTCGCTTTCGTCTGAACTTTCTAGGTACGAACTCGAACGTTTCTTGGAAGATTAGCGCAAATTCGCTCAGCTTTGGCTCAGAGCTCTTCTTCCGTCTTCTTCTTCTTCTCCCTAGCGTTAGTCCCGCGCAGTCGCAGGGTCCGCTGTTTTTGTCAGCCGTCGCCACTTTGCTCTGTCCAGGGCATCTTCCATCGTGGCCGCGACCTCACCTAGGTCCTTCTTGATTACGTCTTTCCACCTTTTCTTCGGGGCTCCTCGCGGTCGCTTGCCTTGTACTTCGAAGTCCATCGCTGTTCTTATCGGATGGTCCTGTGGCCTCCTTAGCACATGCCCATACCATCGCAGACGCTGTTCTCGTACCTTTAGCTGGACAGGGGCAGTCTGCATGACCGCTCTGACGTCCTCGTTTCTAACCTTGTCCAGCCGCGTCCAGCCGCAGGCCCATCTCAGCATCCTCATTTCGGCAGAGTGGAGCTGCCTTTCCTGATTCTTGTTCAAGGCCCAGCACTCGCTGCCGTAGAGCATCGCAGGCCTCACCACTGTCCCGGTACACCTTTCCTTTGAGCGTTCTGGAGCACCTTCGATCGCAGAGGATTCCAGTGGACTCCCTCCATTTCATCCATGCAGCGTTGACCCGAGCCTTCACCGCCTGATCCATCACTACCGTCGGCTGCCAGATCGCTTCCAAGGTATCGAAGTCCTCCAACCTTTTCGATGGTCTCACCATGGCCGTCCACGATCGGCTCTGCACCCTCTTCGGAGCTCAGGAACTTGGTCTTCTTGACATTCAGCCGTAGCCCACCTTCTGTCAGGACTTTCTGCCATTTCTGCACCTTGGCTTGAAGTTCCTCTCTACTATCAGCTATCAAGGCGACGTCGTCAGCATAGAGGATAGTCTTCAGTGGTCCCTCCATGAGCCCCTTCACCAGGCCATCTAGTGTTAGGAGGAAGAGGAACGGGCTCAGAGCTGACCCTTGGTGCACCCCGACCGTGATGTCCACCTCCTTCGTTAGGCCGTATGGGGTGCGTATAGCTGCCTTGGCTCCTTCGTACATATCCTTCACCAGAGAGATGAGGTGTTCTGGCACGTTTCGTTCCCTAAGCGACCTCCATAGCACTGCTCGCGGTAGCCGGTCGAACGCCTTTTCCAGGTCGAGGAAGGCTAGGTAGCAGGGTCGGCGCTTTTCTCGATACTTCTCCATCACTTGCCTAGCGATGAAGATGGCATCCGTTGTAGACCTTTCGGGCATGAACCGAACTGTTCCTGGGAGATGGACCAGCTCCCGCAGTTTCGAGTCGACCAGGCGCTCGTACAACTTCATGGTATGCGCAGTCAACTTGATCCCGCGGTAGTTGGAGCAGTCCATCGCGTCACCCTTCTGCTTGAAGATGGGGACGATAGTACTTGTTCTCCAGGCATCCGGCATCCTTCCTTCGGCAGTTACCGTGTTCAGGAAGCGGGTGAGCCACCTTACCCCGTGCTCTCCAAGCGCCTTCCAAGCCTCTATGGGTACTCCATCCGGACCAACTGCCTTTCCAACCTTCATCTTCCCAAGTGCACACCGAACCTCATCCTCTGTCCAGAGTGCGATGGGACCAGCTGTGGCCTCTGCCCGTGAGTTGTTCTTGTGGGGAACTCCTCGTTCAGAAGACCTCTGAAGTACTCTTCCCACCTCCTCCGACTTCGGCTGGCTTCCTCAGGATGGCGCCGTTGTTGCTCTTCACGCTCTTCACCACCCTGATATCTTGAGTAGCCCGATGCCGGGCTTTGGCCAGTTTGAAGACGAACTTCTATAATAGATATATAAAAGTATCTTAATTGGGATACTTCGAACGTTATCTACAACTTCGCCCATTTCATGAACATAAATCTAATGTTATCTTAAATGAGTTGCATGTTGCTTTACGTTTCCGTTGAAAATAATCACTGTGTAGTGCCCGTACCTTCCTGTTGTATTACCTTTACTATGTTATTCATTCCACAATAAATATGTTGATCTTTCTCCTGCTTTTTGCCTTATTGGAGCTGCAAAATACGGTTATAATATGGGTTTATTTCAGCGAGAGGACCCGCTTCATGCTTTGAAAGAAGTCGAATTTGGCGATCTCAGAATTTTACGTCTGAAATCTTTTGGACCTAGCGCCATTCTTGTATTACTTCGCACCCTTGGCGTCCAATTTTGTGGATCACTCAGTTCACGTATTTTTGAGAATCCAACCCAGGTCGGTATCAGGTTTTAGCGTATTCCTTAAGAGTCCAGTGCAATTTACTGTGTTTTAATCTACTTTTAAGGTTTTGCCTTGTGCGCCTACGTTCCGACTGCTGGAGGAATGGGATCTCCTTCCATCCTCTAAAAAACTGTACCCGGTTCCTTCTGTTGGTGCAAATGATCTTGCGTTGGATATGGTTCATGCCATGATAAAACTTGGGCCTTCTCCTGAATTCGTCTTCTCTCTTCTTGAAACGTATGTTTTTGACAATCAATTAGATGAAGTCGCCCTCTTGGGAAGTTTTATGTTTCGAAAAACATCGTTACAATTTGAAGAAGATAGTAAGCAACGCTAAACAGATAAGAAAAGCGCTCACTTCGCCATGACCATTCAATAGTAAGCTTACGTTCGCATGACCTTCTAAAGTTATGCTCTTGCAAGCGTTTGAAAGTTGATCCCAAATCTGTCGAGGATAACTCTCAACTATTAAATCGGAGCGGCGCAATGTTACTGGGTCCGAAATCCGCAGTAATGTACAATGGGATATCTTTCGCACACGCATTTGCGCCGCACACGCTTGCCGTGCATTTCAGCCTCCCCCCCCAACAGTTCTCGCACACTTCCTTCAGCTGATCACAAAGTTGTGAAAATCGCCTACCTTAAACTCCGCCCACTACATGTAGTTAAAGGACTTCACTCTGCACCCACCTCTATTCACCTTTTGCCCGGTCTCTGGGACTTCTTAGAGCCGTGTTATGAGTTTTCGTCTCGAACTCCGCCCACTTTTGTTATGCCCCGCCCACCAACAGCGATTGGGCTCCATTCCTTCACCACCTCATCCTTCTTTTCCCGGTCTCGGGACTTCTTGGAACCGAGTTATGAATTTCGTCGCGAACTCCGCCCACTTTGGTCATGCCTCCCCCACCAATAGCAGTTGGGCTCCACTCCTTCACCCACCTCCATATGCCCTTTTCTGGGCTCACCAAGACTTCTCCGACTCGAATTATAACTGTAGAAAACCGTGTATCTCTTCCAGCGGCGCTTCTCCATTTGGGTCTATCGCCACCTCTGCTGGCTGCTGGAGCACTTAACATTGCTCCCATACACCTAATTGTTTTTTCTCTGTAGGCTTTCTCCCAACCGAGTTATGAAATTTTTCATAAAGCATTGCTTTTTTGGAGAACGCCCCGCCCACCGGGGGGTGGGTCTCCCTAATTCGATGTGACTTACCAATGCACACCTTAACCCACGTTTGGCCCCGCTTAGCTGAATAGCGTAAGTTTGTGCTTCGGAACTCTTGCCCACCGTCCGCACAACTTGACCGCGCTCCATCCAAGGCGGATCCCGAGGAGCTAGGGAATCGTGCTAACATACAGACATACAGACAGACAGACAGACAGACAGACAGACAGACAGACAGACAGACAGACAGACAGACAGACAGACAGACAGACAGACAGACAGACAGACAGACAGACAGACAGACAGACAGACAGACAGACAGACAGACAGACAGACAGACAGACAGACAGACAGACAGACAGACAGACAGACAGACAGACAGACAGACAGACAGACAGACAGACAGACAGACAGACAGACAGACAGACAGACAGACAGACAGACAGACAGACAGACAGACAGACAGACAGACAGACAGACAGACAGACAGACAGACAGACAGACAGACACAGCATACAGACAGACAGAACCGACAGACAACAACGGCAGGCAGCGCAGACGACAGACAGACAACGAAACGAAATCGCTTTATCGATGTGAATTAGTGGGGCGAGTTCCCTTCCCTTTCTGCTTTTCTCAGCGGGATACTCAAAAGGGCCTTTGAAGAACGTTGCTTGGTCATAGCTCTCTGCAAGAAAGCTCGCGCGACTGCTAAGCAGCGGTTGGTAGTGGCCTGTTTTGCCCAATGCATATAGGTGATGGTGCCTAGATTGCTAGCAGTTACTCGTAAGCTCCCTATACAGGCATCTGCAGGCTGATGAAGTGAGGCGAGGAAGAGTCGTTCAACTGGTGAGAAAAACACAAATTACACTCAGCTCAGCTTTCACTCACGGCTGCGTTGTTCCATGCTTGGATTCCCTTCCTAAGATACGGCATTTTTAGAGTCCTTCCTTATAGGTTGCTTCGAAAATTCTGGCGGAACAGTCTCTTTTTATGATAGCTCCATCAAATTGTTGTAGAGGTCCTGTGATGTTTGATGGAAGTGACTCCCATTTTTCATGGCTCCTTCGAGCAAACAAATCTCAGCGATGACTTAATCTAGTTACAATTTCTTCAGCAAGGCTTCACAGTTGGATCAAACCTATCGAGACAAACCTGGCAATGTACGAAAGACGAAATTCGAGGAATACCTACGCCAAGTTATGAGTGAAATAGGTAGCATCAGTTTCGGCATACCGAATGACGATTTCAATCTTGCAACTGTGATTTATGCGTTGAGCATTGTAAGTCATTTCTGGTCTATTTCCGGTAGTTCTACGGTATGTATCATGAGAAAGTTTCAGTTACGACGTTGGATACAAGACGACGATGCAGTCGCTCTACCAAGTGATGGTGGTTCGTCGAAAGAGGAAACACAGAAAAGGAAAAAGTCGAAGAAGCACGATCTCTCTTTCACTCGGCAGCAGTACATCAATAAATTGAATGACTGCTTATACAAATACATTAGCACACCTCTGCTTATGCTGGAAAACGGGCGTCTTCAAATGTTACTGAAGCTGCTTCTGCTACTCGTGCAGGTAAATATGATACACACTCATACATTGTCTTACATGTAACCAAAAGTTGATGGTACATAGACATCTAAGTCTCGAAACTTGACTCATAAACGCATGATAGTAAGTGAACAATGAACTTCACGGTAGGTAGTGTGTGCTGGATATGGAATGGAGATAGCAAACATTGCAAACATCGCAAGCTGATGTGATGGGGCTGCAGCTTTCAAAATTTGTGACACTACCCATTAAAATGGTTCTGCGGCTTGCACAAGGGCGTCGTTCTCGTTAAAGTTACGAAGAAGGAAATCGTCAGATGCGGCCATGCAGGTGTTGAGCCTGACATACATTTTTGAGGGTTTTATGGAGAGCTGAGTCTTGAACATGTCTAGAAAGTGTCAGCGTGAGGCATTCTTATGGCGAGCGCTCCAGCGGGCGTACCTTAAAGCAAGCCTCAGTTGAAATCGGTGGAGTAGGTGCGATTGATAATGCTGGCGCGGAAAGGAAGGACTAAAGAGTTTTTTGAACGCAACCGCATCAGTGCGATGGGTTACCATATCCACAGTCCATATCTCGAAGTCTGATTAGGCGTGTCACCGGAAATGACGTGGCAGCCACCGCACTTGATAGAAGTTGCGTGGATAAGCTGCTTCCCATGCTTTGCTGATTTCCAGCAAAGTATGTTGGAAACGGCTTATCCGCGCGACTTTCATTAAGTGCGACCGTCGCCTTGTCAAGTCTGTTGACCTACCTAATCAGACGTTCAGACATGAACTTATTACACTTATCGGCTACCTTATCCGCTACGTCGTAATCCACGTTGCGTGGGGAGCACGAGGTATCTTGTCTGTAAGTTGACAGTAGTCGCTATCAGATTTTTTCTGTAAGACCTTAGCGCCATGATGACGCGCACTGTCAAGCCGCCACATCTGTGATAGTCGTGGTCTATTTATTCCATCACAGGACAGATTCTTCAACAAAACCTTTTCTGGGGTTGTTGCTTCAAAGACAGTAAGTACGATGATTTGGGTGAGCACCAAGGTTGCATATGCGGCAGTGGAAACGGAGGTCTGGTACGGTTTAGGAATCTGAAAATATGACGGTTGGGACGTCAATGGCGACGTGGTTCAGCCTCAATCTCAAAGACAGCAATTGCTTTGGCTGAGAGGCGGAGATGGTTGGGCACGTCACTGGTGGGAACATGTGAGAGAGGGTCTGACCACACTCTTTCAAAAGAGGGCTTAACTTAAACCCTTCTCGACTTGCTAGGCGGAGTTGTAGATCGTTTCTCGACACGTTTCCATCAGTGACTCCTCATACCGTCCCGTCTCAGCCATTGCAAACGTTATTTGGAAACTGTGATTATCTTCCCGTTTTTTTTTTATTTCGGAAATGAATTTCATCCCACATCTCCTTTTCTTGTCATGTCATCTAATCGAGCTACCCTTCTCAAAGAGATCACTACCCTAGCCGAAATCTCCTCTACCACTCAAAATCAGTGGTGAGAATCACGGCCTCATATTTGACGTCTACAACTCTCAGAACTTCCTGTGGTTCTTTTTCGCTATATCAAACATAGCACCTCTAATTAAGAGTTCAATCGACATCAAATGACCTTCGACATGCATAATTTAGACTGACATGCGTAGTGTAATCTCCTTGCTGAGTTATTGAAAGTTTGTGAATATGAGCTTTCTACAACGCTCGTGCGCGCTCGTCGCCTGTTTTCGCAAACAGCTGCCTTCAGCTTTTGTTTCGTCTACCAATACCTTAAAGGAATCTTCCGCGGAAAAAGCTCCGCCTCCATTACCACAGAAAAACGATACCCCTTAGGCCCCTAGCCTCATGAGCATAGCAAAAAGAACGGAACATAAGCGTTAGTTTCGATAATACTAATCCTATGATCACTCTTTCCGTGGAAGATTCCTTTAAGGTATCGTTTTCTGTGGTAATGAGGGCGGAGCTTTTTCCGTGGAAGGATTCCTTTAAGCTGAATACCCACGACATTATGCATATTGGTATGTCATCCTAATCTCCTATGCTTCTCTATGAACTTTCTTAGCTTAACCCTGTCTGTTAACGTTGCTAAGATAGTGCTGCCTCTTTTGCAGACGTTTCTCGGCAGTGCAGTTCAAAAGAAAGATTATTACGATGTGGATGTTCTATCTGTTCGCGAAGTGATAACAAGATTTCTGTTAAGGAAGGATGGCGATACTAAGGTCAGTTTTGTATTCATAGTATTGAAGACAATTGATGCCCTTGAGATGATTATGTTGGTCCTCTTCGCGATATTGCTGCGTCTAAAACAAAGCGATCTGGTGCGAGATCGCGATGTAGCCTATCTGATCATGTTGCGCATAAATAAACGCCACAATGTGATGTAGCCGGTTACCATTAGTGACTGCGAACGTTGGAGACCCTGTATTTGTCCACTATTTAGCAGCCGAACTCATAAAACATTAATTTCAAAAACTGGTGTTGATACATACTATTCAAGATCTTGGTTACAAGGTCTTGTATTCTTACTTTTGTTTTAAATGCTGTTGAGACGCTATACACAAGGAAATCCCGACCACAATTCCTAGATCAACTCTAATATATTTCAGATTTTTCCGACGGATATTCTTGCTGCACTTGACGAATTCAAGCGGCTTTTAGAACTTTCGATCCAAATTTGAAGGTGTGTGATTGATTCTCTCGGAGCCTGTTTTTATTGTGGGTTATGATAGGTCGATCTTGATTTGCGGTTTGTGGGTTTCACCCGGTTTAGACAGCTCGACGAAAACCAGAAAGCAACTTTATTAGAAAAGAACAACAACACAACGAACAGAATACAATGTGTAAAAAACACAAAAAAGGGGGGTTGAAGTCGGCCGGAGCCGATGCAGAAGTTCTTCCTGACGTCCTGTGGCGTCCCTTTTTATATCGGTCGAGATCTCTTGCTGTCCGGCGCGTCTTCAGCGTGCCTCCCGCGCGATCTGCTACGATATGACCTATCGATCCTCTTCCAATCTCCCCACATCCTCCCCCCACGGGGAGCCGGCGTCCTCGGCGGCGGGACCTCCATTGGTACAAGTTGGGGGAGCTTCGCGTCTCTGACACGATTTCTGATGCACTCATAGAATGCCTTAGCGCTTCCGACCGTAACGTTTTTTCCATAAAAATCAAGACAGCCTTCGGGAGCTCCAGCTTCAATGAATATCTTACCACCTTCTACTTTGTGGTTTGCCGTCAGCATAACCTGTCTTGGTGCCGCTCTCTTTTGCAAATCGTCATCGAGGATTTGCCACATTTCCGAAAGGCCTTTCCAAGTCACCAAGTTCGATTCCATCAAGGGTGGCCATACCGAAATGATTCGTCCTCCTTCCTCTAGGTGTCGGTGGCATCTTTGCAGTGTTTCACACACTAGCGGATCCGTGAAATAGACGTCCATTGGCCACACAATGATCCACGTAGCGCACATCTTGAATTCATCAAGTACAGTCTTCAACTTATCGAACGTTGTCGCTACTTTCGTGATGATCCCGCGACTGGGGCCATCTCGCTCCAACAGAAGTGCATTTTCAGGTGCCGCGAACCCAGTTGGGCCTTCCTTCTTCGGCCGCTGTTGCTTCTCTCGATCTTCGACTTCTTTCTTCACGGCTTTCAAGGCCTCGTCGTAAGCGCTGTCAAAACAGTAGCCTTGTATTCTTTCATGCTTCTTGATTCCGTCTGTCACGTAGACAAATTCTGTCCAGTCCAGGCAACAATCGTATGCGAGACGCAAGATTTTCTTAAGGGCTCTCACATCTAGGCACACCATTTCTTTTTTCCACGATGCGATCTTCTCCGCTGTGTTAATATCGGTCCTCATAAAGATGCTCGCAGCATTCCAGGCTCTCCAGAGTGTTCCGATGGGTTCTCTTGCAAAGGCTCCTGGAAAGGGGACGTCTCTGATATCACCAAAATAGACTTCGTCCAGGCATCCATCATTGCATCGGTACTGTAGGTGTCCCTTGCATGAGTTCGATTCGAGCACAGCGCCTCTGAAAAATGGACAATTTACTTTATTCACTTTCACTTTTGGTTTACGGCCTCTTTTTCCTCTATTTCTTACTGTATCAACTCTTTCATCAGAAATTTGCTGTGGTACTACTCTTAGCATGTCATATTGGACCTGAATTGGTTCTGAGTTGTCTCCTATTCGGGTTATCACTGCGGAATTATCACCCGTTTTAATCACTCGGAAGGGTCCGGCCCACTCACTCGTAAGTTTGGGATGTGAACTCATTGCTTTCTCTTTAGGCGAGAGTAGATAAACTCTATCTCCCAGCTTTGGTAGTTTCTCACGATCTACTTTGTTTCTTCGGTCGTACTCATTTTTCATGGTCTCTCTCACGCGGTTGTTATATTCCCTCACTCTTTCGTGGGTCTCTGCTATACACTGCATCAGTCCTATCTTGTAGTCATCCATCGCCTTATCCAAGGCAAACCATGACACCTCAGTGTTCGGCACAGCATTTGATGGAAAGTATGGATCCATCCCATGGAGTAGGAAATAGGGGCTTTCCCCTGTGGATCTATGAGGCGTCATATTGTAGGCAAGCATGCAAAACGGTAGCCTTTTGTCCCATTCCGTTGGCACTGTCGTTGACCTCCTTAGCATCGCCACAATTGTACCATTTAGTCGCTCCGTGATGCCATTTTCCCGGGGATTATATCCCTTTGTCATAATGTGTTTTATCTTTGTGACTTTCATCAATTCGGCCATCACTTTATTCTCGAATTCGCCTCCTTTGTCGGACAATATTGCCTTAGGCCATCGGCAGCCATCAGATATCCATCGAGTGAAAAGTATATTCGCCACTGTTTCGGCTGACTTGTCTTCCGTTGGGTATGCTTGTGCGAATTTTGAAAAATGATCAATGATTGTGACCGCATATCTGTTTCCACTTGAAGTCCGTCCTAGTTCTAACACGTCAACCCCTATCAGTTCGTACGGCCTTGTGGTCACAATGGGCTTCAGGGGAGGAATTCCAATTGGTCTAGGGTTATGAACGAAGCAACGTTGACATTCCTTTGTC